GACATGCCGGTGGCGGCGGCCCGCGCGGCTGCAGCTGCAGCAGCGGGGGAGGCGGCGGCGGAGGCGGCGGCGGCGGAGGCGGCGGCGGCGGAGGCGGCGGCAGGGCTCGGGAGGGGGGCGGCGCGGGGGACCGGCGCGTAGCCGGGACTATGGAGGGGCAGAGCGGCCGCTGCAAGATCGTGGTGGTGGGAGACGCAGAGTGCGGCAAGACGGCGCTGCTGCAGGTGTTCGCCAAGGACGTCTACCCCGGGGTGAGGGAACCGCGTCTTGGGAGGGGGGCGCTGAGGCTGCTGGGGGAGGGTGACGGGGGCCCGGGGGACGGATGGAAACGGGTGCCCGGGTGACCAGGGACAAGGGACGGGGGTTTGGAGGGCCAGGGGGCGGCGTGGGGGGTTCGGGAAGCACTGCAGAGGATTGGAGTGGAAGGAATTAGGGAGCCGGCTGAGACGGATGGGGCTTGGCGGAATCAGAGGACCGGTAGGGAGCGCCAGGGGCATGTCGGAGGTCCTGGGCAAGGGAGAGGGGAACAGCTAGGGAGCGGAGGGCATCAGAAGGGGTCTGGGAGCCTGGCAGAGATTCCGCGGGGCCAGCGGCTCCCGGGATCTCCCCTTTGCCCAGTCTCAGACCAACTTGTGTCCGGCGGCTGGGCTGGACCGGGTGTGGGAGTGAGGAGGACGTTTGTCTGGGGTGAGTACTCGGGGAGAGGATTTCATCTTGACCCATCCATGTTTGCAGAGTTATGTCCCCACCGTGTTTGAGAACTACACCGCGAGCTTTGAGATCGATAAGCGCCGTATTGAGCTCAACATGTGGGACACTTCAGGTAGCCAAGTCCCTGGGGGTCACCCTGATTTCCAAGGCTGCTCACTCTGTCCCTTCCCTTGGCTAGACTCAGGTTCCAGGTCAGCTTAGACCATCCATCCAATTCTAGAAGGAAGGAAAAATCCATTTTCTGCTTAAAGCCAGGGAAACTGAGGCAGAACTTGCTGAGCCTGGCAGAAACCATGTCCTGAAGGAGAAAGCCCGGTATTGGAGCCTCTCAGCTGGGTCTGCCTACCTGGGAAAGTTGGGCTTTATTTTGGAACATGTCTCTTAGGCGATGGGACTGGGTTTAGGAAAGGCATTTAGAATTTCTAGGAGAGGGGGGAGGTGTGTGTGCAGGGGGAGCTGTTTCTCTCCACTGAACTAGAGAAATCTGAGGTCAAGTCCCAAGAGGATGGGAGAGTGCTTTCTCTGGCCCTCCTCTCCTTCTCCACAAAGTGGGGAAGGCTTTTATTTTTACTTGATTTCCCTGGAAGGCTTAAAAGTCTGTCAGTGCCCAGAAAGCATATGTGAAATTTTGTGAGAATGTCGATAGGTTTCTGTAGCTTCTCAAAGGGGTCCAAAACTCAGAAAAGATTCAGAATTGTTACTTTTAGAGAAACCTCTAGGGAGGCCCGAAGTGCTTTCCCAGTGTCTCACCTCCCTCTGCCTGTTCCCCTTCTTGGGAAACGACTCCCTGATGGGCATTAATAATTGCTTTTCCATCCTGGCTCCCAGCATCCCTTGAGCAGGACGTCTAAGGTCTGCCATTCCCTCTGGCCTCCCGCCCACTCAGGCCCCTCATCTTTCCCCTCATGCCGTCTTCCCTCAGGTTCCTCTTACTATGATAATGTCCGGCCTCTGGCCTATCCTGATTCCGATGCCGTGCTCATCTGCTTCGACATTAGCCGACCAGAAACACTGGACAGTGTCCTCAAGAAGGTGGGAGCCTGAGGATGCAGGACAGCTAGATTGGGGGGACCAGACACCGTGGTCTTGACCCATTGTGAGCCAGGAGAAGGGAGTGATGGCTGGGGCATGGTCATCGACTGGTTGACTGGGGAAACTCTCATCCCTCCCCACCCCTACCTCCACCCCTGCCTCCCCCTTCCTGAAATCAGTCCTCAGAGAAGGACTCAGCTGCTGAGGGCGATGAGGGAGAGAAGGGAGAAATACTCAGGGATTCCTTATCTGCTCGGCCAACTCCTTGGATGTGGGAGCTCCAGATGGAGGGCCTGGGAACTCTGATCCTGGAGCCCAGGAATGCCCTGTGGTCTCCTCTCCAGGCCCCTATTTTCATGAGAAAAGCTCATGGTGAATGGACAGAAGTCAGCCTGCGCAGCCCCAGTTCCCAGGCAGGGAAGGGGAAGGGGAGGCCTGGATGGTCTGTTCCCAGGAGAAAGTATGGGAAAGAGGAGTGGGAATGGGAAGGTTCCAGCCTGGCAGACCCTTCGTGGCCACTGAGGAAGGAGAGCCCCCAACCTCACAGCCCCCTGCCCAGCCCTCTCCTCCCCTCCTTCCCCCACCCTGCTCTCAACCCAAACCTGCCAGGGGAGAGTCTGATGCCGTGAGGAGGGAAGGCCATGCCCTGTGCCTTCACCACCCTTCGTAACTCTCTTTTCTTCTCCCAAATAGTGGCAAGGGGAGACTCAGGAGTTCTGTCCCAATGCCAAGGTTGTGCTGGTGGGCTGTAAACTGGACATGCGGACCGACCTGGCCACACTGAGGGAGCTGTCCAAGCAGAGGCTTATCCCTGTGACACATGAGCAGGTGGGACCCTTGACTTCTGACCTAATCCCAGTCTAGACCTCTGGCCTCTGCCCTACCTGGTTCATCCCTTTCCTCAGACCTCTGACCTGATCCTTCGACCTCCCCACCCCCGGCGGCCCTCCATGCCCCTTGCTGAGCTGCTGGCTAAGCCTGTTAACTCCCTCCCGTGCACTCCTTTTCCAGGGCACTGTGCTGGCCAAGCAGGTGGGGGCCGTGTCCTACGTGGAGTGCTCCTCTCGGTCCTCTGAGCGCAGCGTCAGGGATGTCTTCCACGTGGCCACAGTGGCCTCCCTTGGCCGCGGCCATAGACAGCTGCGCCGTACTGACTCACGCCGGGGACTGCAGCGATCTGCTCAGCTGTCAGGACGGCCAGACCGGGGCAACGAAGGCCAGATACACAAGGATCGGGCCAAGAGCTGCAACCTCATGTGAGGGTCGAGGGTCGGGCAGAATGTGAGGAGGGTTGGGTCCTCCTGCCTGTACCTGGGTTTTCTGACCTGCTGACCCTAGCTGGGAGGTCAGGGCAGGCAGAGAGAGTGATTGTCCTGGGCAGGGACGCTGGAGGTCAGAAGGGTGTCCAGTTTCCCCACTTCCTCCTCCCCAGTCCTCTCCACCGGATGTTGAGGGAGCTGATGGGTGGCAGGCATCGGGAGCACGAACTGGGATGGGGCAGGTGGGGGTTATGAAAGCTGGCGTCAAACAGTGACCTTGGTTGAGTTTCCTGTCATCCCCAGTCCCCATATCCTGGTTCTGGCTTCCTTCCCTAAGGAAAGTATCCATTCTTTGACCTTGTTCTTTTCTTCTCTTCTCACTTCTACAGCTGTTCTCACACATCCTAACCTCCAGGCAACATGCACTAAATTAAAAAGCAAAGAGAAGCCCCTCCCTCATCAGTCCACCAACCCTAGCTCCCCCCTTTCCCCCAGTAGTCCCCTAATAAAGCCCATGTCCATGGAAAACGGCTGTGGCTTTAGTATTGTTGCTTAAAAAAAAATCTATCAATCTCTAGCAGCAAAAGGGAAAGTTAGACCTCAGGTGGAATTTTCCTGTGGATGCCCACAGATGGAACAGAGGAAAGAGTCATGTGTTGGATCAGAAATGTCGCTTTAGGAGGCAGAGGTGGGAAAAGGAGACATACTGGGAATATTCGTCCCAGTTAATGAGGTGGACAACTCTCAGGTCATTAGGGGGTTTTGGAGTGGACTGATGTGCAATTACTCAGCATTACTCAGCCTGGCCAGCCCCCTGAGGGATGCTGGGGGGGTTCTGCTCGCCATCTGCACCCCTGGCTTGGAGCCTGCTGGGGCCAAGGAGGTTGTGGGATAGCAAGGGCATCAAAAGCCTCCATATCACAGAAGCTGACCCAAAGGGTCAGGAGTTTGATTCTGGGGTCTCCTCAGAGCCTGGAATAGTGGCTCTTTCTCCATCCTGAGCCCCCTGAGAGTTTTCAGGGGAGCATCAGCTGTGAGTTTAGGGTCACCCTACCCTACCCCTTAGAGAAGAAAAGCAGTGGAGGGGATGGCCAGCGCGCTTGTTGTCAGGAAGGACAGTGCTCATCTGTTTTCTCGGGAGTCTGGTTTCAGATTGTCCTGTATTCCCTCTCTGGCTCTGGGCCCACTGGCCTCCTTTCGGTGACATTCTCCCCCAAGAACCATCCCTGGCCCTCCCCCTCCCCCAATGCCAGTCCCAGCCCCAGCCAGTTCTCCCAGACACACTCTGGGAGAGAACACTGACCTTGCCCTCACACCTGCTGGAGTCCCACCCTGATCCACAGCCTGTCTCTCCCTTGTTCATTAAGCAAATATGCACTGAGCATCAGCATGTGCCACACAGTGGCTTGGGAGACTGTAAGGACCAGTCTCCGAACTTCTAGAGGCCAGCCCAGGGAGGAAGCGAGGTGCCCAGGTGTGAGGGTGCCCTGGCTGCAGGATGTCTGTACATGCCTGGGATGCTGTGGGAGCTCCCTACAGCCTGGGAAGCCAGTCCTCCAAGCCAGGTCCTGAAGGTAGAAGAGGAGTTAGCCAGGCAGGGAAGGGGTAGGAAAGGCACTCTGGATAGAGGGTACAGCATGTGTAAACAAGTGGAGATGAGAGTGAGCATGGCACCTTTGGGGCCCCCATGGCAGGAAGAGCAGAAGACAGGGCTGGCAAGGTGCACAGAGGCTCCTGCAGGGCCCTCAGAGGAACCAGGACTTCACACAGAAGATGTGGGGAGCCACCAGGGATGTCACACAGAGGGAAGGATCAGATGTGCTTTTTGAATAGATGGTTATCTGCATGAGGTGTCAAGGCTGGGGGATCTGGCTCAGATGTGTCATTTAAAATAGCTTATTAGCTCAGCCTGTAATCCCGTACCTTGGGAGGCTGAGGTGAGTGGATTGCCTGAGCCCGCGGGTTTGAGACCTGCCTGGGCAACTGGCGAGACCTCATCTCTACAATAAATCAAAAAATCAGATGGACGTGGTGGCGCATGCCTGTAGTTCTGGCTACTCGGAAGGCTGAAGCGGAAGGATCGCCGGAGCCCAGCAGGTTGAGGCTGCGGTGGCCGGGAGCGGCCACTGCACTCCAGTCTGGGTGACAGAGTGAGACTCCAACTCAAAAAAAAAAAAAATAGCTTATTAGAGCTGAGTGCAGTGGCTCATGCCTGTAATTCCAGCACTTTGGGAGGCCAAGGCAAGAGGATTGCTTGAGCCCAGGAGTTTGAGACCAGCCTGAGCAACATAGCAAGACTTTGTTGGGCATGGTGCCATATCCAAACTATTCAGGAGGCAGAGGCAGAAGGATAGCCTGAGCCCAGGAGGTCGAGGCTACGGTGAGCCATGATCATGCCATTGCACTCCAGCCTGGGCGACAAAGTGAGACCCAACTTAAAGGAAAAATAATAAAACAAGATAAAATAGCATCTCCTTTCCCTAGTCTAGGCTGCAGTCTTGAGAGGAAAGGAATTCCCACCCACCCCAGCTCATCAGATACTCCTACCCCTGGCTCTCCTGTGGATCCATCTCAGCCAACATTAAGGATTCTAGCTGGGCTCAGTGGCTCAGCCTGTAATCCTGCACTTTGGGAGGCTGAGGTGAGTGGATTGCCTGAGCCCTTGGGTTTGAGACCTGCCTGGACAACTTGATGAGACCTCATCTCTACAATAAATCAAAAATTAGCCGGGTGTGGTAGCGCGTGCCTGTAATTCCAGCTACTTGGAAGGCTGAGGTGGAAGGATCACTGGAGCCCAGCAGGTAGAGGCTGCGGTGGCCGGGAGTGGCCACTGCACTCCAGCCTGGGTGACAGAGTAAGATTCCAACTCCAAAAAAAGAAAAAAAAGGATTCTAGGATAACTTCAAGGGAATTTGAAATTCTCCAGGTGCCCTAGGATAACCACCTCATCAAACCACCCTGGTTAGGGACTGACTGTGAGACCTTCCTCAGGGACCCTGAGCCCTGGGCTTGAGTATAAGGAGAGAGCTGGGGTTTTCAGACACAGACGGGTGGAGCTCCGTCTGTCTCAGAGGACTGGCCCTTCTCCCACAGGGACCTGTCCTAAAACACAACTTGGGATTTTTGGCCAAGTGGCTTCTCTTTTGCACTTTGGACTTAACACGGGCTCAAGTCTGCAGCTACCAAATTGTAGTGTTCGTGCTCCTTCTCTTCTCCAGCCTTCCTCTCCTGCCAAGTGCACTCAGGGAATGCAAATGCATTTCAATATCTGCCTAAAGCAAGCATAATTAGGAAGATAAATCAGTTGGTGGAACCCGCAAAGTTTAATACATTTTCAACACCATGGGGATTGGAGTTTGGTACTCTGCAGGTCTGGGTTGCCAGACGTTTTATTTCTGGGGAGGAAGCCTCAGGCTGAGGTACTGGTGGGAGGAGGAGGTGAGGCTGCTCCCTGATCCTCAAAGGTCCTGCTGCAAGCTGGAGGGAGGGGACCTTACTCCGTCCTTACCCCAGATACAGGAGTCAGACTCAGCTTCCTCTGCAGCTGTTTCCCCCACAAATTAGACACTCGCTTGGGGAACAATGTAGCCTCGTTAATCATTTAATGAAATAAACAACTAATCATGCTGTGATGCTGCCAGTGTTTCTTAACCTAGGCAATCAGCCTGCCTAGGAGGGAGGAGGAGGAGGAGGGGAAGGGGAACTCAGTGTAACCCCTGAAACACTTTAGCTGTCATGACTGCAGCCCTCCCAGGAGGGATAGTCATGGGAAGAATTTGGGGTTTGGAGGCAGGGGTCTGAGGGCCTGGGTTGCGCTCTGCTGCTTCCTCCCTGCACCTGTCAACCTGTTTTCATACCTAGAAAAGGGGGCTGATCACTCTACCTCATGGTGTTAAGGGGTTGAGCTGATGTCAATCTTTTTTTCTTACAACACACGGGCTTGTGTGCTTCTAAGCTGGGACTGCGGGAATCAGAAAAGTCTTCTTGGACGGGGTGCTTTGTGTTGGAATTGGAAGACTGGAAGAAGCCAGAAGACAGAGGGGGGAGGTGGCTATGCCTTGTTCCCACACCTATCCTGAGGGCTGGAGAGAGCTTTAGTGAGGACTCCAAAGGTTCAGGTCCCTTGGTCTCCATTTTTCTGAATTCCTTTCTTCTTAAGGCTCTGTGTGAGAACCACTTATTTCCACAGTGACCCTGCCCCCCAGATATATCAGACTTATCCTGCAGGCTGAGGTAGGCGGGGAAGAGGGTATGTCCCTGTGACTCCCGGTGGGACAGGCAATCTGAGTACAGCTCTCTACCGACTCCGCGTTCTCTTCCCAAGGAAGGGGCTCAACTCTTTGTTTTTAGTTCTACACAGGGCATCGCCTCTCCTGCCTTCCTCCTTCCAGCTGGGCTCCCAGATCTTTCTCCATTTCTAGTCAACTCCTTGTTGCTCTCCTGAAGTCGAGAGTGAGGGTCAGAGGAAAGGGAGGCTACAGGTCAGGAGGAATGAGGTGATTCCCAAGCAGCTACCCCAGCAGCCAGAAAGACAAGAGAGCCATATACACAAGTACCCTTCCCCCCAAGAAAATGCCTCTGCTGTTGACTCCTAAATAACAGATGTCTGTCTGCATATTAATGAGATGGGACGAATAATTGGTGAGTTTTTCATTCAGTGTTAGAATGAACCCAGAGGCCTTATGTTCATGCACACAGACACCCACTCACCCCGACTCTCCCCTTCCCCCAGAGCACAATGAAACAGACACAGATGCTGGCAGGCTGGACCCACAAAGGGGAGGGGGCAGACAGGATGGGGGCTGAAGGGGTGTTAGCAGGGCAGAGACACCCCGTAGTCTGGGTTTGTCAGGTTTCTCTCTCTTGATCACTGCTTCCCCCTGCACCCCCGACAAGGGTGAAAGCTTGCATTTGTAGGATTTCTCCAGCCCACACAAGGGGCCTAGAAGTAGGTGGGCACCAGAGGGAGGAGAGGCTTCTGGGGGGAGGCAGTCACTGCAAAGAGGAGAGGAACGAAATGGTGGCCTCCTGCAGAGAGGCTGTGCCTCCCTTGAACCCAGAGTCAATCAGCCCCTTACTCTGCATTAGCCCCCATCCCAAGATGTGAACTGGAAGAACGGAGGTTTTAGAGTCAGGCAGCTACAATTTGCCAGCTGGGCACTCTGCACAAGTTATTTAACCTCTCTAAGCAATCTACCTTGCAAGATGGAAAGGATGATATAAGATGTGTCTTGTGCCTGTCTTAGTGCCTGGTTTGTAATAGGCCCCAACACATATTTTTCCCTCCCCACTTATCCCCAACACAAACCAAGACAGTTTCTGAATTGCTGCCTCTCCTGCCAGATCCACCCTTGTTAGGGCAGGGGTTAATTAGAAGTTTAGTAATTATCCTAGCTGCCTGGAAACCAAGAGGAAAAGACATGGAGAGGGGTAGAAACAGAGAAAGAGACAGACAGACACAGAGCCAGGCTCGGTGACTCAGCCTGTAATCCTGCGCCTTTGGGAGGCTGAAGTGAGTGGATTGCCTGAGCC